GTCCCCTTGACCAGGAGTTCAACCAACAGGCAGGTTGGTCAACTGCCCATGTCCCCTTCCCCTGGCCAGGCTGGCTGGACCCCCACCCATGCACGAATTCATGCACTGGGCCTCTAATTATACACACACACACACACACACACACACACACATACATACATACACACACGCACACACACATATACACACACAAACGCACACTGAATGGTCAGATTAGTATGTGTTCAGAGATTATAATAATCTGGCCACTCAGTGTATGTTAATGTGTCCCTGTGTGTGTGTGTGTGTGTGTGTGTGTGTGTACACGTGTGCATGCGCATGCGCTTTAAAACCTCTATTTATGCCAAAACCAGTTTGGCTCAGTGGATAGAGCGTCAGCCTGTGGCCTGAAAGGTCCCAGGTTTGATTCTGGTCAAGGGCATGTAACTTGGTTGCGAGCATATCCCCAGTGGGGGGTGTGCAGGAGGCAGCTGATCAACGATTCTCTCTCATCGATATTTCTAACTCCCTATCCCTCTCCCTTCCTCTATTCACTTCTGTGACCTCTACAGAAAAAATAAAAAGCATATCACTCCTAACTTGTAGAGCACAGAGAAGTACTTAGTCCATTGTAGATATAAGATAACTATTTGCTATACCAATGTGGAATAACATGTCAGATATTGAATGTAGACCAGGTGTACACTGAAATGTGCTCTCATCTAGCCCATACATATTTCTCCATCTTATTTATAAGGCTACTAGCGACCCGATGCACAAAACTTGTGTAAGGGCCTTGGCCCCAGCCCCTGCCCACCATTGAGACCGGGGGCCTCTATCGCCTCTGCCTTAGCCCCTGCCCACTGTGGCTTTGTCTGGAAGCAGTGCTTCCCAAAGTGTGGCACGCGTACCCACAGGGGTACGGGAAGAGTTTGGTGGGGATATGCACTGCACCGTGCTTAGCTGCACCTAATTCTACATTCTCATGAGTACGAGGGATACTCAGCATTACGAAAATTATAGAAGGGGTACACATATGTCAAAAGTTTGGGAAACACTTTCTGGAAGGAAGGATGTCCAGTCTAATTAGCATATTATGCTTTCATTATTATAGATAATGTAGGCGTTGCCAAATGCCTTTCCCATACCATGTGCCTATAGCTTTCCCCTGATATATCAGAACAGTAACTGTAATCCATCTTAGTTCCGCTTGTTAGAGAGTTAGTGGAAAAAATAATGACATATAACAAGGGCACGTGAGATGCAGCTTAAAAGGCGCAGTTGTTCAATTTAAATTCTATATCCCCTATGTTCTTAAAAACAAAATGGAAATTTGGAGTTATTTGGAAGTCTTTCAAAAGTTCTAAATAGTATGATTATTAATACTGCCCTAACAGTATCTTATTATTATTACTATTATTCCTTAATAAAGGAAACAAATATTTTTTAAGTACATCTTTGAGTAAATCTGAGCATCTGTCTGAAAACAGGCCATTGAGCTCTGCCAATTATAAATTATTAAAAGCCATCAGATAATATCAGTATACTAAAGGCCCAGTGCATGAAAATTTGTGCACTCAGGATAGGGAGAATGGAGGGGTCCCTCAGCCTGGTCTGTGCCCTCTTGCAATCCGGGACCCCTCAGGGATGTCCACCTGCTGGCTTAGACCCCCTCCCCAGGGGATCGAGCCTAAGCTGGCAGTCAGACATCCCGCTGGCAGCCCTCAGGGGATGTCCAACTGCTAAGCTGTCAGTTGGACATCCTTAGTGCTGCTGAGGAGATGGGAGAGGCTTCCGCCACCACTGCAGCCCTCAGCCCAGCCTGTGGCTGAGTGTCGCTCCCCCTGAGGGAGCGCACTGACCACCAGGGGGGCAGCTCCTGCGTCGAGTGTCTGCCCCCTGGTGGTCAGTGCACATCCACTAGTGATACGTCATTCCTGGTTGTTCCACTGTTAGGGTCAATTTGCATATTACCCTTTTATTATATAGGATTGGTGTCACAAATATCCAATTATCTGTGTTTAATGTAAGCACCATAAAATAAAAGCAACAACCAAAAGATACTTATAAAACATTGAGGCTTTGCCGAAACTGGTTTGGCTCAGTGGTAGAGCGTCGGTCTGCGGACTGAAAGGTCCCGGGTTCGATTCCGGTGAAGGGCATGTGCCTTGGTTGCGGGCACATCTCCAGTAGGGGGTGTGCAAGAGGCAGCTGATCGATGTTTCTCTCTCATCGATGTTTCTAGCTCTCTCTCTCTCTCCCTTCTTCTCTGTAAAAAATCAATAAAATATATTTAAAAATAAAATAAAATAAATAAAAATAAATAAAACATTGAGGCTTTGAGAACCTGATTTCAATGAGCTACAAAGAAATGATAATTCATTAAGAACTCTGTACTTAACAGAAGGGTTAAATTTGCTACTCAATAGGAACATCTCAGCTTCCATTCTCGGGTTTGTAAGAGTACGAGAAATTGTGCCAACATTTGCCTATCAAGAAATGATGCTGATTTGCAGGAGCACAGGTTTTCAGGCTGTGCCAGACTGGACGTTGCCTGGGAAACTGGCTTCTGGCACAGCTAGAAGGGGAAGTGTTTCTGTGGCAGGAGTAGTTCGGAATTCTCTATCCCTGGCCCTGCTGTGCCTTCTCCTTACCTGTCTTCTCCCACTGCCACATTGGGACCAGCTTCTGTGTGGTCTCTGATTCCCTGATGTCTGCTTGAATTTGACACCCTCACTGTTTAGACAGAAGTTAAAAAACAAAACAACAGCCCTGACTGGTTTGGCTTAATGGATAGAGTGCCGGCTTATGGACTGAAAGGTCCCAGGTTCAATTCCGGTCAAGGGTATGTACATTGGTTGTGGGCACATCCCCTGTAGGTGGTGTGCAGGAAGCAACTGATAGATGTTCCTCTCTCATCGATGTTTCTAACTCTCTATCCCTTTCTCTGTAAAAAAAAAAAAAAAAAAAAAAAAAATCAATAAAATATATTTTAAAAACAAAACAAAACAACAACAACAAAAAGTAACTGCAAAAGATGTTTGGTTTTACCAATATAGTGTTTTTTTAAGCCAATGTTTTAAAAACAGGATATAGCTCATGAAAATCGATGTATACAGCTTTTTCTTTCTGAGAAATGGGAATATTGAAGCCAAATTTCCTCATGAAGCAATTTTCTAGAGCAGAATGGCTGCTGCTCACTTAAATGGCACATGATCTCCAGTTCGCCACAATCCCCTCTATTCCCTTTGGCTCCAACACTGCGGCTAAGTATTAATTTTCCTTTACTCCATATTTTTACCTGTGTGTTCTTTTCCTTGTGGCAGAGAGGCATTTCTCTCTTCCTAGGATAAATGACAAAACAAGAGATATAATAAAAGCATTAAGAAGTTCAAGAAAAAATATACAATATAATTCTTGGAGTAAACAAAGACCACTTCTACATGTTTAACATACAAAGTGAGTACACATAACAAAGCACAGACCCTGCTCATTTTTTCTTATATTTATTACCTAGCCCCTAGCCTAGAGCCATTGGAGTGGCGCAATGCCAGGTCTTTGTCTCAGGCATCCAGGTGTTCTTAGAATGTGGATTACGCTCTGGGATTTGACCCCAGTCCCGTTGCCCACTGCTGTCTACACAAGAGAAGCAGGCCATATAGCTACAAAGTAAAGGTTTTGGTGGCTCCAATTCGTGTTCCTCATTTGCCTGCCTCATTGTCTGCAAATAAGTTGATTTTTAGAGATAGGCCAAAACATTTCCTTCTAATTTAGCAATAAATGCTATATATTCAGTGACTTTTTTTTCTTTTTTTTTCTTTTGGATAAAAGAATCTGAATATACTAGCTAGTTTTGTCCCTAATCATTTCATCTTCCTTCTAATTGAGAGTATGTGTAGATTATGCTATAATCATCAACTAATTTAGCCACTAGTTATTTTTATTTTATTTTAAATATATTTTATTGATTTTTTAACAGAGAGGAAGGGAGAGCGATAGAGAGTTAGAAACATTGATCAGCTGCCTTCTGCACACCACCTATTGGGAATGTGCCTGCAACCAAGGTACATGCCCTTGACTGGAATCAAATCTGGGACCCTTCAGTCCCCAGGCCGAGGCTCTATCCACTGAGCCAAACCAGTTAGAATAGTTATTTTTGTTTTTAATGAAAAATAAGGAAAGGGAGAGGAGGAAGAATAAAGAAAAAGAAACAAAGCCATACTCAAAAAATATTAATATTGTCAATAGTTGGCATGAGGCCTAGGTTGTTCTGCTCTATCTCCTCTCTCCTCGGTAGACAAGGCAAAAGTTCATTTCCATTTTCTGCACTCTCTCTTTACATGAATTTACTTTTAAAAACTTAGCATTTTTTAAGGACCATATGTTGGAATGCAAAGGGAGGAAATAGATCTCAGTGTGGTCGTGGATGCTGCTCTATCTCCACCCTCCACTGTACACCCCCAGAGGCAAACACCCCCAGGTGACTGGCTTAGCTTGTGTTGGTGCACACCATCAGTAGATGAGTGTCTGAATGGCGAAGGACTTTTACAGACTCACCTAGAAAAGCTGGAGCTGGAGCCAACTTCATTACAATGGAGTAAAATGCTGGAAGGAGTTTTGCATGGGATGTTAGCACATGCTGACCAAAGATCTCATTCTGAGAAGGTGCAGATGGTTACCTGGTGGTCTCCAGCTGAGGCCTTCAGGGAAAACCCTAATGGGGTCCTAGGTGGTACCCCCGGGTCAAAGCACCAAGACATCAAAGGCTTTTGGCCTGAAGGTGACAGAGTGGGGGCTAAAGTAGTTTTAAGTCTTTGCTCAAATATGTAAAATAAACCACGGTGTCATAGCAGTGTTGGTTTGAATGAGCCTGTTGGGTTGGTTGAGGTGAAGTGGGGAGCTGGCAGCCTGTATGTAATTAGCTCCTGAAAGAGGAAGCCCTGAGCCACCTCTAAGAGCAGCCTGAGGCCACAGGGGCATGCCCTCCAGCTGGCTGAGGCCGCCCCCGCGCCACCCCGCCCCTGCCTGCTGACGGAAGTGCTGTCTCTATCCCGATAGGACAAGAATGACCCGGCCGATCGACAAGGGGCCAAGAGGAGCTACCAACCGCCTCTTCCTCCTCTTAGCGTGGGTGACAGTGGGCATTTCCTCTGAACTCCCTCCCTTCCTCCTTTGGACTAAGCCATGAAGGGACATGACAATAAAGGAATCATCGTTGCATAAACACGTAAGTATGCATTCTTCCTCATCAGACACAACCGCAAGGTAAAGAACCTACATCGGGCTTGTGAGCTGGGTCCCCTATTCATTTTAAGTTTTTATTGATTTTTTTTTTTTTTTAAGAGAGAGGAAGGGAGATGAAAGACAGAAACATTGATGAGAAAGCAGCATGGATCGGCTGCCACCTGCACACCTCCCACCAGAGATTGAGCCTGCAGCTCAGGCATGTGCCCTGACGGGGAATCGAATCGGAGACCTGGGTTGACACTCAACCACTGAGCCACACCGGCCAAGCTGGGTCCCCTATTCTTAAGACATCCACTGAGAGAATTTATTCAAACAAAGCATTCTGGTTTTTTAGTGTTGTTTTTTTTCACTTGAAGACATACTAAGCTCTTTCTCTAGTTTTCTTTAACAAACTACATAAGGTTTGCAGATTTTTTTCTTTGCCTACTTCCTCCTGAAATGTAAGTCTGTGGTTAATCAAGCTCTGTGAAAGACAGCTTCTCCTTCAGACTGTGAGCTAACACAGCTCTCGGAATAATATCTCGCATTTTGCTGTTGGGTGTGTTTTTCTCTGAGGAGTGTCAGCAATCAGAATAAAATACTAAGTAAATGAGGTCTGAGAAATTTCCTCAGGGTCTCGATTCCGTGACTCCACCAAATGCCAAGGATTCACGGGTCTGATGTCACCAGACACATGCCTGAAACCAGAACAGTGACAGGTTCGGTGATGGGCTTGGTGCTTTCATCTCGGTGCCAGCCTTTGCGGCCCTCCACCCAGCAACAAAACAGCCTGCTCGGCTTTGCTAGTGTTTCCACTTCCGTTTACATCACCGTTCTCTGTGGCACCACTGTCGCCACGGAAGTGGCACCACTGTCGGCACGGAAGTGGCACCTGTGCAGGAGGCGGCGGTGTGGTGCCCGGGGTTGGGGTTGGGCAGAGAGCAGGGGCAGGCTGACCTACGTGGGTGGGCTGGATCTAGCTCTAGCTACTTCGTAGCTGACAGGCCTAGGGCCAAACCTGACCCTCTGGAACCCCTTTCCCTCGTTTCATATCCTCATGGAGACAGTAACTCCTACCCTGCAGGGTGGTTTAAAAGGTAACAACCAACGGCCATAAGATGCCAGGAACATAAAGTAGGCTCCCAGTAAAAGATAGCAATCATTATTAGTGTTGATGTTGTAAAAAGTGTTAATACACTTAAAGTGCTCAGGACAGCGTACTCGGTAAGTGTTTGTTATTTATTAATGTGATCCGAGGGAACTGGGTGCCTTATCTATTTGGGATCTTTTGGCCTCACTGGGGGTGATGCTATGTGTTTGGCTAATATGCCCAATTAGGAAAAGGCAGAAGGTTTGGTATTTTCTGGAGGATTTTGATATGATTTAACAAGTTAAATTCCCCCCGAGAAAGGGAAGTGAAATTAGATGATCTGCATCTGAGAAAGAGCCAGGACTGCGGGTTAGAGCATGGAGTGGAGGAAGGAAAGAACATACGTGGGAAGATGAACTAGGAAGCCACAGCGGGACTTCACATCTGCGCAGAAGTAGCGGCAGCAGGAAGAGAAGTGGACTAGGCAGAGAGAGCGAGGAGGCGGCAATGGACTCGCTCCTGGTGGAGGAAGGGAAGGGAGGAGTCACAGATGATCCTGCAATCTCTGTCAAGGAGCAGTTAGGTGGAGAGTGACTTCCCGGACTGAAAAGAGAAGCCAGGGGTAGATTGGATCCTGGCATCATCACAGGGTTTACTCAAGCAGCGGCAAAGAGACATTTCTCTATGCTTAGCTATTTTGTCATGTGCTTATTTTGTTTTTTTTAAATATATTTTATTGATTTTTTTAAAGAGAGGAAGGGAGAGGGATAGAGAGCTAGAAACATCGATGAGAGAGAAACATCGATCAGCTGCCTCCTGCACACCCTCTACTGGGGATGTGCCCGCAACCAAGGACATTCCCTTGACCAGAATCGAGCCTGGGACCCTTGAGTCTGCAGGCCAATGCTCTATCCACTGAGCCAAACCTGTCAGGGCTTTTATTGATTTTTTTACAGAGAGGAAGGGAGAAGGATAGATAGTCAGAAACATTGATGAGAGAGAAACATCCATTAGCTGCCTTCTGCACACTCCGCAACCAAAGTACATGCCCTTGACCGGAATCAAACCTGGGACCTTTCAGTCCGCAGGCCGATGCTCTATCAACTGAGCCAAACCAGTCAGTGCATTGTCATGTATTTTAAAACTACTCCATAGCTTGCATCACCAAGAATAAGTCTCTACGTGAAAAACAAACACAGCCTTTTGTCTGACACCAATATATAAGATGACTGAGTCCATAGTTATGCAACTCTTAAAAATCATGACTAAGAAAATAGAATGCTGACATATGATTCAAAGATTTACAGTCATAGCTTAATTAAACTGGTAAACATCAGTAGTGAAAGTGATTTCTATAGTTCTCCTTCATTCATTTAAATGTATTTTAGAGACTCAACAATAAATATAACTAGAGGCCCAGTGCATAAAAATTTATGCACTGGAGGAGGGATACCTCAGCCTGGCCTGCTCCCTCTCACAGCTCAGGAGCCCTCAGGGGTGGGAGGTGACCTGATCAGGGGAAGTCAATGCCCCCATCGCACCTCTGCTGCTGCCACTGCTGGCAGTGCAAGCCTCAGCCAGCCCTGGTTACCTAAGCCTCAGGCAGCCCTGGACAGCTGGGCAGCCGCCATCCCAGGCTTGCCTGTGCCTTGGGCCAGCCCTGGGTGGCTGGGGACTGAGGGGACTGGGGGACTCTGGAGACAGGCACAAGGAGTGGCTGGACCCGCCTGGGAGCGGGCTCAGCCTGCAGCACACCTGTTGCCCTAGCAGGGCTGAGGGGACTGGGCGCCGCCATTTTTGAGGGTGTGGCAGTAGTCACTTAGCATATTTCCTCCTTAATGGCTGTGGGTGCCACCATCTTTGCGACGGCATGAGGATCAATTAGCATATTCTCTCTTTATTAGCTAGGATAAGGAAAGAAGTGCCCCAAAGGAGGAAGGAAGGCAACAAGGAAGTAACCAGTAACATCTTTGTATATAATTTGGAAAAATATTTTTAAAGCTGGTATTTTACCAGAAGAATTTAATAGTGATGCACAATAGATTTTTTAAAAATAAATGATGCAATTTGGGTCAGTCATTATATTTACAAAGCAAATATCCATCTGAAAAAAAGTTTGGCCAGAAGCCACATTCACAGTGCCATTTTCAGTAAAATTTTAAAAATCCCTTTTCAGAAATAGAAGTGATTTCCAACATTGAATTATCATCATCTGCTTCTGCAATTTTCCCTCACTGACTGAGCTCCTAAACTCACAGACCCTGCCTCACACAGCCTGAGGTTCTGGGTGCCAACCCCTGTGTCTAGCATGGAGAGGCACTCAGGGAGGTTTTATCTAAGGAAGTGAGGAAGGAAAAGCAGCGTGCAGCAAACACAACTGGACAAAGCAACTTCATTGCAGGAATTTAGCAATTGAAATTATTTAAAATTTGGGAGCTTATTTTTTTATACATGTACTATGACTGAGTTACAGATACCTTTGAAAATAAAGAAAATGATTGCATCCATAATCCTACCATGCAAATGCATGAAGAGTTAGCATTTTGGTTTTAGCAAAAAAGTAATGCTACCACTGTTAGACTTAATTTCTAATGCCACAGACAAGCATGCTTTTTTTTGGGGAAATACCATATTTTAAAAACTGACAGTGTTTTGGATAGTGCTCTCAAATATGACAAGGTGAGAAGAAAAACATAAGGCATGTTAAAGAGAAATTTTAAAAATGCAGATCATGAATATGAAAGGGAAGGGAAGATTCTTGGCCAGACTCTGATTAGGAGAGAGATGATGCTCCTAAAATATTTATGGTTTAGGATGAAGGGTTTTTCACTTGCATAGTTTATGCTAACTTGGATTGAGGAAAGGAAAATGTGTTGCAATTAATAAATAGCTAAATCAATTAACTGGTAAAACCAAACATAAATAGACTATCTGAGAGCTACTGGCCTTCCATTTGGCAAAGCAATGCTCTTATAAATGTGGTAATCGGGTGAATTTTAGAGAACTGGACAATGAGTATTCTCCAATCTTTAAAAAAGGAGGAAATTCTGTCACATACTTACTACCACATGGATGAACCTTGAAAACAATATGTTAAGTGGAATAAGCCAGCTCAGCCGGCATGGCTCAATGGTGGAGCACCGAACTATGACCCAGGAGGTCAGGGTTCGATTCCCGGTCAAGGGCACATGCCCGGGTTGTGGGCTCCATCCCTAGTAAGGTGTGGGGGGAGGGCGTGCAGGAGGCAACCGATCCATAATTCTCTCTCATCATGGATGTTTCTAGTTCTCTTTCCCTCTCCCTTCTTCTCTGAAATCAATAGATATATTAAAAAAAAAAAAAAAAAAGTGGAATAAGCCAATCACAAAAAGACAAATACTGTATGAAAATAATCAATTTATAGAAACAGCAGGAACAGTGGATGCCAAGGGCTACAAAGAGGGACAAAGGAGTTGTTGTTTACTGGATAGTTTCAGATCTGCAAGATGATAATGTTCTAGAGATTGTTCAGAACAATGTGAATATACTTAACACTACTAAACACACACTTAAAAATGGTTAAGATGGCAATAAGGAGAGAGAGAGGGGGGAGAGGAGGGGAGAGAGAGAGAGAGAGAGAAGAGAGAGAGAGAGAGAGAGAGAGAGAGAGAGAGAGAGAGAGAAAGGAGAGAGAGATGAAATTAAAAAACTAAGCCAGTGATTTAGTCTTCTAATAAAATGTAGTATTATTCAGAGGTGAGGGACACTGTTAAACTAGAGGCCAGGTGCATGAAATTTGTGTATTGTTAAACTAGAAGCCTCACCAGTGATCAGGGCTGATCAGGTTCCCTACCTCCCTCAGTCCCTCAGTGGGGGCGCCCACCATGTTCCGTGCTGGCCCTAGTGGTCATTGAATGTCCTAGTGAATGACA